GGCAGCGGGGCCGGGCGGGAGCGGGCCGGGGCGGGGCGGGACGGGACGGAGGGGCGACGGGCGGGGATCGCCCCCGGGTCCCGGCCGCGACGGGCACCGCCCCTGGGCCGCTCGCCCCCGGCGGGGACCTCGCTCGCTCCCGGCATGGAGGTCCCACCGCCCCCCTGTCCTCGGGGGAGTCCCTGTCCCCGTGTCCCGCCCCGGGTGGGATGTTCCCCGTCCCAGTCACACGGTGGGAAGGGGTGTCGCGGTGGGGCCAGGAAGGTGTGTGTCCCCTGCCCTGGTCACCCCGGGGGTCCCCTGTCCTGGCTGCCCTGGGGAAGAGGTGTCCCTTGTCCCAGTGGGCCCAGGAAGGGGAGTGTCCCCTGCCCCAATCACCCCAGTGATGGGGGATCCCCTGCCCCCGTCCCCCCTGGGGTGGGATGCCCCCACTCCAGTCACCCTGGGGATGGGGACGTCCCTGCTCTGCTCACCTCGGGGATGGTCACCTTGGAGACAGGGGGATCCCCTGCCCTGAGCTCCACACCACCGCTGGCCGGGGGCCTGTGGGTGGCTGGGGTCCATCTCCTCCCCCTCGCACCCCCTCCAGCCTGCCTGGCCCCCGTGGCCTCCTGCTCCTGCCCCCGTCCCACCCATGGCCGGCAGCCCCGTGCTGCTCGCCCTGGCTGGGCTCCCCGGGCCTGGCCCCGCAGGGTTTTTGGCAGCCCTTCCTGGTCCCAGCAGCAGGCTGTTTGTCTCCTTTTCTTGCCAGCTTTCTTCCCCGCCTGCTTCATGCGCGGGGAGCTCCGCTGCCAAGGTCTGGGCCATCCTCCATCCCACAGGGACCTCTGGCAGTTTCACACCTTAAAGCTCACCCTCGCTCAGTGCTCCAACCCCTCTCAATGCCGACACCCTCAGAGAGGAGTTTTACTTCTTTTTCTTTCCTTTTCAGCTGCTGAACCACCCCAGGTATTTTTCCACAGCTGGCTCTTCTGTAACACTACTCATGGGAAGAGCAGGAGAAACAAGATGTGCTTCCCGGCGTCCCTCCCAGCTGCTGGCTGGCAGCTTGGGGACTTCCTGAGAAAGGGCTTGCATCCGGACGGAAGTACCTTAATAGCCCTAATGGATCTACAGCCACCTACAGACCTCGTCCCTCTCCAACCCATTTACATACTTGGCCTCTCCAGCATCCTGTGGTAATGAAGCTGGTGATTTCGTGCCCTCGTTCTGTTTCCAGAGCAGGTCTAGAATAGCCCTGCTCCTGTCGAGTCACTGACTACTTGGCAAAGAATTCGGTGGGGTCCTCCGTAGCCGTGCAGCTTGCTTTCTCCATCCAGATCTGGAAAGGTGAAGTCTGGTGCCATGAGTGAGGTCCCACTGGTGTCTGCTCACTGGCCGTGCTGCAGAGCTCGTGCCCCACGGCCTGGCTGAGAGCTCCATGGATGGCCCACGTCCAAGTGTCCCGCTCTTGGACATCCGACAAAAATGTCACCCATTGCCAAACAGCAATTCTTCTTTCCTCCTTGCAAAGGTAGGGAAAAAAATAACATAAAGGAGGAGTTGAGGAAAAATGAGCTTGGGAAAGCGATGACACCCCCGCTCTGTGGGTGCCAGACCTCACCCATGAGACTGGGCACTGGGGCAGGGCTGGGAAATAGCGGGAGGGGGCTCAGACCATCCAGTGCCCCCGAGGAAATACAGGCCTGGAGGTGCCTAAATTTGGTGCTGGAGCACAGAACTGTGGCAGCTCAGAAATATTTCTGGGCTAAAACTCAGCAGCAGCCTTTGAACGAGAGGTGTTGAATTGTTTCCTGCACAAATAAAACCCCTCTGGCTTCTCTGGTGACTGAGAAAGATTAAACCCAAGGGACAGGCCTTATTTCTAACATACATGGTTTTCTGCAGAAACTCTGCAAATCTCAAATACGAAGACACGGCCAGAGAAGTCACAAGGGGCCAGTGGGTGTTTTAACCCCATGTAAATCATGACGGCACCTGGGAGGTGGCACGGAGAAAAGCACTTCCCAAGTCTCGGCTGTTGGCCGACGCGGTGGTGTCCCCCCGGGGCAGGGACACGGACCCAGGACCGGTCTGAGCTGTGGCACTCACCTCCCTGGGCCGGCAGCCCCCGGCACCCACAGCCGGAGCCAAACCCAGGCTGGGAGGCAAATGGCAGAGCTGCCGGCCCTGCTGCTGCACCGTGTGCGTGCTGAGCTGCCGGTCAGCAAAGAGGAGACCCTGGGGTTGCAGACGTTCAGGTGGGTGCCTGCGTGGGTGAAAGACGCCTGGATGCTCAGTCTCAGAAAGGATCAGGAATTGCCACAGCCTGGGACTGAGCTCTTGTATTCAGCATCTCTCTTACTGCCCCGTGAAGTGTGGCGGGGAGGGCTAGACAGGCCCTTCTTACTGTTGCAGGGGCAGTTTTGCTGAAAACCTGATGGTTTTCTGGTGCTGAAATGTTGTAGTTCAGCTGTCTGGGGCTCTGCAGACTTACATGGCACCATGGCAGGGCCTTGGCACAGCTGTCAACTGGCCCTGACCCTCCTGAGAGTATCCATCTGAACAAAAAGCTCTGGGACCTGATGAGTTTTCAATTTATCAGAAACATTTAAAAGCTTTTTTTTTTTTTTTTTTTTGGTCCAGAAGAGGGTCTCAAAAAATGGCTTTCACTGTGAATCCCAATCCTTTCCTCTCTGCCAGCCCTGGCTGGGGCTGTGCATGTGATCCCAATCCTTTCCTCTCTGCCAGCCCTGGCTGAGGCTGTGCCTCAGTTTCCCCCTCAGGGCAGTTGCAAAGCGAGTATGTGTATGCAAGTGTTGTGATGTGTACCAGTGTGACAGGGTGCTTCTCCACAGCCTTCTGGGGAACAGCCCCAGGAGCTGAGAGTGGCTGCAAACTGACAGGCTGTGTCCCTGTCCCTCCACATGCAGCACAGAAATCGAGTGGTGTTGGCACACAAGGAAACACAGCCGGCTTTCAGCTGGCTGGGGGGAAGCTTTTGCTGTCACCCTGCCTCATTCAGGTGGCCCTTGGTTGGAGAGAGACAGAAACGCTGCCAGAGATGCTGGTAGGGAAGGGCTGCAGCCCTGTGTGCTGCTGCTCACTGCAGCTCTGGGTGACTCCGTTTGCTCCCTGGGCAGCAGGATCCCAAACCCTTGGGCACCCCAGTCCCCTCTGTGGGCAGCAGGATCCCAAAGCCCTGAGCATCTCGGTCCTGCCTAGGGCAGCAGGCTCCCGAAGCCCTGGGTGTGCGGGGCGGGCTGGTGGTGGCCCATGGCTGGGAGAAGCTGTATGTGCTCAGGGTGCACCTGGAAAAGCAGCAGACGGGGTGAGTTCCAGCCATTTCCCGGCTGCCTGAGTTCATCTCCACTTGCTCCTGCTTTGCCACCCCTGCCCAAGCCTGGCTCCTGCCCCCATCGTCCCCTTCGCGGTGTCACGAATGGCACGGCGTGGGACCCACGGGCAAAGGCTGGCCGGGCTCTCCCTGGCGTGGTCCTGGAGGAAGGTGCAGTGAACACCTCGGTGCTGCAGAGAAGAAGAGGCCCCTCTCGCTGCCCGCCCGGCAGGCTTGGCTGTCTCTTCCCAGCTGCTGAGGCAGGATGTCCTTGTTTTTCTGCCTGCAGGTTTGGGAGCGGCAGGAAGCTCGTTTCCTTTCATCGCCTCTTCGCTCGTATCCTTCCTCTCCAGGATGCTGCAACAAAACAAAGGACCTGAGAGCAGAGCAGGAGCAGCTTCCCCAGCCCTCCAGCCGTGTGCGGGCCAGCAGGACCTGGGGAAGGGTCCTCTGGGGATCACAGGACGGCAGCACTGGGCTCAGACCTGGCTGGGCTGGTGGGGACGGGGTTAATGGCAGAAGCTGAAGCCAATGGGGGAAACCGTACCCCGACAGCAAGACAGCCACCTCACAGCGCCCTTGCCAACAGCTTCCCCCCTTGCCATCTCCCACCGCCC